AGATGAAGAGGGAGAGATGAAGAGGGAGAGATGAAGAGGGAGAGATGAAGAAGGAGAGATGAAGAGGGAGAGATGAAGAGGGAAGGATGATGAGGGACAGAGATAAAGCGAGGAAGATTAGGAGGGAGATCAGGAGATGGGTGTTAGAGTGAAGAATAGTGGGGCAGGAGAGTTGATGAGAATGGAGAACTGAGAGGACAGATATGTAGACAAAGCCCATCTCAGGAGTGAGGGGGTGCCTAATGTACTCTTCTCATACATTCACTGCATGGTCGTTAGGCCATCTGCCCTCAGTCTCTCATCCTAATGCGGACATCGCGTTGACTTCAGTTGTTACTTATAAATACCCTTTATACTTTGGACAAACATCAACCTCTTCTCAACTTTTCAGCTTTGTCTCTTGCACTTCAGCACTAATCAACAAGAACGTCAAGCAAAGCCCATAACCTAAGCTATCCTTGACCAGCAGTGGTGAGCACATGGTGCATAGGCAACAGCTTCCTTTCCCGATATCCATGATACAGCGGAACACAGCTGTACTTGGCAGACATGGGAGCATGTTTGCCCGATCGACACAACATTGCACAAGTCAACATTCATCTACCTATCCGATATCACAAGTTCAATCCGGATAGCGCATATATTCTACGCTGAGCATTGCCCAAGCTAGGTCAACCACCCTTCATTTTTTCTGACGATAACAGTCGGGATGCCGTTGTAGCCCGAAGTCATGGAACCGAGACCATCAAGTTTCTTCTGATGAGAGCAACGAACTAGAGGGAAATACAAACTATTGTAAGATCATGTGGTTGTTATTACTCAAGTTAATGATAAACCCTTACCACTTCCAAAATTTCAGGTCGGAGGGTTAATCGGGAGATCTTCGTGAAATTGCCACAGGATTGCTGTGTAGCGTTGACTACAACTTATTCAGTCAATGATGATAAGGACACCGAGTGTACTCGATCTGGCAGATACGTTATTCCTGCGAGACGATGGACAACATTGATTATGCAAGTATGTGCCAGCCAGAAGCTAGAAACTAATGACTTGCAGATCGCGTCTGGTCATACAACTGCCCAAACACCGATCCCGAACGTCCAAGCAACACCGAGGGAGCATCATACTCCACCACCCGACCCTCATCAAACACTGCAATCCGATCATAATCCACCAAAGTATGCACGCGATGCGCAACCGCAATAACAGTGCATCCGCGGAACTCCTCCCGAATAACTCGCTGCATAGCCTCGTCTGTCTTAACATCCACGTGACTCGTTACTTCATCTAGCAGGAGAATCTTCTGTTTCGAGACAATAGCCCGCGCTAAACAGAGCAGCTGCTTCTGGCGCGCCGACAACGGCAAGTCCTCTATACTCTTGTCAAGACCACCATGGGCTGCGACGTGCTGCCTGAGCTGGACTCTCTCCAGAGCACGGGGGATCCTGTCATCATCCGTGGTCTGGAACGTGGTAATGTTCTCCCGGACCGTGCCGGGAAAGAGGACTGGTTCCTGAGGCATCACGGTGATCTTGCTGCGGATGCTATCACGCGGACAGGATTGCAGGCTCACGCCATCGATACTGATATCCCCGCTTTGGATCTCGATCATGCGCAGGAGGGCCAGGATGAGAGAGCTTTTGCCGCTGCCGGTGCGGCCGCAGACGCCTAGCTTGGAGCCGGCAGGGATGCTTAGTGTTATGTTGCGGAGGATGGGGGAGACGGTTGGGGCGTAGGCCATGGTAGCATTCTGAAAGGTGATTGAGCCGTCTGAAGGCCATGTAAGAGGGGGGGTTTGGGTTTCGTGAGAAAGATGCTCGGTGGGCACCTTTCTGAAGCCTCGGATCCGGTTGACGGCGCCTATGCTAGTATCTAGGGATGTCCAGCAGTTGACAAGCTCGGCGAGTTGCTCGTTCAATGTGATGAGAGATATGAGGGAGACTCCGATCGGGCCAATCTTGGGCACAAAGACCGCGAAAACAGCCAACATGACTGCCAGAGCCGCGACAAGCAGATCTAGAACAAGAGCCAACCAGCGCTGAATGATGAACAGGAAGTAGTACGGTCGCTGGGATGTTTGCAGTAAGTCCCTGTGCTCCGCCTCAAAGTTACCCTGCCAGCCAAAGGCACGGATAGTGATAAGACCGCCGAGAGTCTCGGTGAATTGGGTGTACAGTGGTGACTTGGCTTCCAGCTCCAGATGGCGAAGCTGCCGAGATGAGCGAAGATAGAAGTTCTGGATCCAGTAGACAACAAACACGGTGACAGGGATGAACGTGGTCATGTATTTTGCTCCAATGCAAATGAACGCCACGCTGATGACACACTGGACGAGGTAGTTGGGATGTCTTCAAGAAGTCTGCTGGAAGCGACCGATCTAACATTGTCATGTCTTGGCTGAAGCGGTTGAGGATGACACCAGTGTCGGTTGATGTATGCCAGTATAGCGGTGCATCTTTGACCTTGGTTACCAAATGCTCGTGGAGTCGACTTGAGGACGTGGGGACGATGCGACAGAAGACGAGCCACATGCAGTAGGCCCAGAGGGCTGCCGCGGCCACTGCTAAGAATGTGTAAATGCCAATATACCGTGCCAGCTGTCCGAACGGGGTTTTTTCATTCGTCTCCGCCCACCACTGAGCCCAGAGACCTGCAGGAATGGATTAGTGGGAGGCGGAATGTGCATTCTCGCGTTAGGTGTACTCACTTGTGAATTGCGCACTGAAGAGACCAACAACCAGCGCTCCTGCATAAAGCATCATTGACCACCCGCCCGACGTGCGAGAATAGTAAGCATAGTCGTGCAAATCTCCTTTATGACGTGCTAAGACGTCGTCAGGATCTATTGGATTGCTGGACCGGGGTTTCTGTAGCTCTAGATCGACATTGTTTGGTTGAAGGGATATGTCTTTGAACTCCTTCTGCATGACATGATCTCGCAATATCTGGAGAATCTGAGGAGGTCCCTGCTCAACGATCATTCCTTTATCAATGAAAATGGCATGGTCAGCATGAGCTAGATGATTCCACCCATGTGTCACCAATATCACCGCAACTCCGTTGCGACGTAAGATGCCGTCAGAAGCAAACACGCGGGCAAAGACCTGAGCAGCGGTGGTAGCATCCAGAGCACTCAGAGCATCATCAAAGATGGCTAGTTTGGTCCGCGCATAAACTGCACGAGCAATGGCAACTCGCTGCCGTTGTCCACCACTCATTGAGATGCCGTTGCTGCCAATAACCGTGTAAGTCTTTCTCGGGCAGAGCATCGATGTCGCGATCGAGAGCTGTCGCGTGAAGGATAGTGCGGTACCACTCTTCTTCATACGGGAAAGGGTCGCAGATGTTGTCCCGAATCGAGCGGTTACGGATCCATGTCTTCGTACCGCAATACGCGATGTTGGCAACATTGATGTGGATAGAGCCCCTGAGACAAGGCACTTCGCCGAGACATGCTTTCAGTAGTGTGCTTTTACCAGAACCAACTGGTCCGGCGACCATTGTTAAGGATGAAGGAGAAATTCTGATGTTCACATTCGTTAGTATAGGGTCTAATGTGCTTGTCCAGCCGAGGTCAGCGTCAGACACATGAACTAGATCAGCCGTGGGAACATGCGTCCTCTCGAGTTTGCTTGGGCTTGGAAAGAGCTCAATGTATCCTGCAGTTTCAGTTTTCCCTTCAACTGCGGTTGATTTGGATGCGGCAGTGGCAGTCTGTGGCTGGGCAGTACGACGATCAGGCTTTGTGTCTGCTGTAAGATAGGCTTGAATCCTCTGGATGCTTTCCAGGGCGCCCGCCACTCGAGGTCCTGAGTAAACAAGGTTTGACAACGGGGTACTCCAAAGAGAGATAATAGAGAGGGTGGTGAACGTCGCAGCCACATCCAAGGGGGCACGACCCGTATGAAGGGCGATGGCAGCATAGATACTCAACGTAAGCACTGGACTCAAATTTGTGATTGCACCACCTAGAGGTGCGTATTAGTCTTCACACGCTACACTCGGAGAACACCCTGCAGCTATATACCAAGCAGATTCATTTTCACCATAACATGGCGAAACTTCTTCCCCCTGTCCAACTCGTTGATTCGTAACTTCTGCATGATCAGTCCCAGGCGGAGATGCAGATTCAACATCTTGATGGCGGCAAAGGCATTCGAATAGTTGGAGGCAAACGCCACTCTCTGCTGTACGGCCTGCATCCATAATTTCTGCCGACCAGGCATTGAGCTAGAGAGGAGGTGCATAGATAGCATAGCCACGAGAGAAACAAAGGCAGGAACGGCCGCTGCCCAGGAGACTTGCCGCTGCAACAGGTACAGAGCAATACCGGTTTCCACAAGGCTAGCCCACACTTCATGCATGTTTTGGATTCCAAACGCAATATTGTCGATGTCATTGCTCATTAGAGTCAAGGCAGCCGACTCGCTGTACTCATCGAATCGCAGAGTCAGGGTCTTCTGGTAAATCAAGGAGACTACTGCGCCTCTGACGTTTGTTATCAGGCGGTAATTGTGATGCTGATAGAGACAATCGAATATCTGCACCAGGAAACTCGACATGAGCTTAGCTATCAATATGTCGCAATGGGCACATTGTGGTTCTTACCCCTTTGAGCAAGAACACCAGTCCAAACGCGCCTATCAAGCCATAACCCTTGTTCCGGTCAGGCTTGGCTTCCTCGACATAGTCCTTCAATGCCGTTATCAGGAACGGCTGCGAGTAGCTTAGTCCAATAACTGCTAGTCTCGCAATGAAAGAACAGATGATCGAGGAATTGAAAGTGTACATCATGCAGTAAGCCAAAGCATTGTGTGAACGTTTCGAGGCTGTGTCGCGAATCAGAGACTTGTACACGAGCATCTGAACCTATCGTAAGGAGTATGACGTACCACGATTCCATGACCTATTCAACTGCTTATGCAGTAGATCAGCGGATAGGCTTCTGTCAAGGTGCGGCAGATCGTCGATGGAGAACAGAGACTTGAAGCCTAGAAAGAGGTACGGGTTTGTCCACCAGAAAAAGGCGCGACTGTAGAGACCAGTGATGTCCTCATTGCCGTACTGAACTTCACCATGTTTCAGAAGTGCGTGCTTTGAGCGGGACTCTAAGCAAAACCATGTTGCCTTGATTGCAATACCTGCTGAATAGAGTCCCTCGATAGTAGTATTAGATGCAAGCCATAAGCTTCTAGCGCGCACCGCATCGAGAAGAAGGGACACAGATAAAGCAAGATTGAGAATGTGGGAAGGGTGGATAGAGAAGAGGTGTTCCCAATGCGACAGTAGCAATAGGCCAAGTGAGGTTGCGAAAGACAAGGCCGCAGCTGGTAGGGATGCTCGTGTTCGTGGCGCATGAGGCAAGAGCCAAACAATCAGTAATGCTAGTTGAGTTGCCCCAAATGCTTGTCCGAGGCCCTAGAGACAATAAAGTGTTAATCTCATGCCTACGGCTATGATCTGGACGAGACAATCGTACCAATTTGGCCCAGTAGAGCCAGCTTTGCGAGACCTTACGAATCCGCTCGGGTTGCAGCTGCTTCCAACGAACAAGAAGGATGAGCAAGAGCAGAAACGAGGGCGCAATTGAGAAGAAACATTCTTCGAATAGTAAGGTGAAGTCAAACCCGCCGCGACAACCATGGCTGGCTTGAGGACCGAACTCATTGTCTCCCACAGGTATGAATATTCTCCATTGGTCCGTAAGTCAATGCTGAGACAGGTTGTGGGGAATTCGAAGCTTCCAAGGGGGGGGGGGGGGCGTCAAGCTTATAATTATGGAAAAGCTGCATTAGTCTACGCGCTTTGGGCTGTGGCTGACGGAGGTCCGTACGGAGCTAATATATCTGGAGCCAACCACCCCTGAACGATAAGCAGACTTACATACAACCATCGAGAGCTGATGCATGACGCGCAACTACTAGGTCTAGTCCGAGCTCTAAAGAGGGAGCATCAGATTCTAGCTACCAGTACCCACCAATGGCCATCGCTACAGGGAACACCTTGATGCGAAGGTGCCCTAATCGGGAAGCACCGAGCCTTACAGCCAGTGATAGTCTTCAAGCCATTTATTTGTGATCTAAAGGTGATATTGCTTGGGTGTATTTACAGCAACATATACCGGACGTATGGGTTACATGGTAATTTTTATGTTATACGGTTCAGCTCTGTTTTGCCCTAAGAATAGGGATTGACTAGTAGGAACTGACACTCAAGACATATACAACAAGAGGATAGATAAGAGCTTGACTTTGGAAATTCTTTAATCTGAACATAGAGAAATAATAATTTTTCTCGCGAAGGCTAGACGTATGTATTAGTCTTGCTTTACATTATATTTACAGCACACGCCAGTATAATCATTTTGAATGCGATATATAGCTAAGGATGGTTCAGGACTATAAGTAAGATGTTCTCAAATAACATACGTTGAAACAGGTTAATGTTATCTCAGATAGGGTTCCAGACAGGTTTGCAAGGCAAAGGAAAAAGACTTAGGCCAGATGTTGGAACTGCACAGTGTACGGGCGGGCTCGACCTGCTGCGGCGGCTGTCATTGCATCTGCGGGGCTGCCGCTGATCTTCCAATCTGGCTTCCAACTCTGCGGGGTTGACCCATATACACTCATAGATACTGTAAATATCCACTCATAGTTTTACTTGATAATTCTTCCTTGGGTGTATGTCATGAACCACCGAGGTGATGTCATGGCTGCCTTGGCAGCTCCTGGCTCAGCCACATTGCGAGGTCGGCCTTAGGCTGCGCCACAGTGGTTACCATGGTTCGGTCCGGAAGGCGCCTCCGTCCCCTCTCGTCATCGCAAAACGTTCGTTCGCAGCATTGAAGATGATTCTTGATTCTTCCTTCCACTCCCCTCCTCTCCTCTCCTCTCTTCTCCTCTCCTCTCTTCTCCTCTCCTCTCATAACTTACTTCCTACTTGCAAACATCCGCAGCTTCAAGTAAACTATTTCCAGAATCAGCTATCGGACAGATAACTATGTCCTACCCCTACCACCAGCCACCGGTGATGCACAGCCAAGGCCCACCAGCCCAGTGGGACTACAATCAAGGACAAGGACATCCAGCACCTTATCCCGGACCGCACGGTGCATATGGCCAACAACCATCGGCGCCAGGTTGGCTGCCGCCACCAGGAGGAGCTCGGCAGCACGGATACCCCGCAAACAACAACTATCAATATCCACCTCCACCTCCACCTCCACAGCAGCAAGGGTACGGCCCCCCTCCCGCCTTTCCATCGCTCGGCTATGCGCCCGGCCAAATGGCCCCCGGGGATTTTCGTCGCGAAGCCGACGCCCTGCGCAAGGCGATGAAAGGCTTCGGGACGGACGAGAAGGGCCTAATTGCCGTGCTGGCCCGGCTAGATCCGCTGCAGGTCGCCGCCGTCCGCGCCACGTACCAGTCCCACATCCGCCGGGACCTCTACGCCGACGTCAAGTCCGAGACGAGCGGCTATTTCCGCCAGGGGCTCCTCGCCATCATCGACGGCCCCCTGGCCCACGACACGGCGCTCGCCCGTGAAGCCGTGCAAGGGATCGGCACCAAGGAATGGCTCCTGAACGAGGTCCTCCTCGGCCGCTCGAACGCCGATATCCGTGCCATTCAAGCCGCCTACGAACGCACCTATCGCGGTCGCTCGCTCCAGCAAGACGTCGCCGACGACCTCTCCTTCAAGACCAAAACCCTCTTCACCGCCGTGCTGCGCGCCGCGCGCCACGAGGAAAGCATGCCCGTCGACTACCGCCTCATCGAGAGCGAAGCCCAGAACCTCCACGGCGCCACGGCCGCCCGCATCGTCAATAACGCGGACGAGGTCACTGCCCTCTTTGCGCGTAGCTCGGACAACGAACTCCGCGCGCTCAACCAGGCCTTTGCCAGCCGATACCATCTCTCACTGGAATCGCACATCGAGAAGGAGTTCTCCGGGCACATGAAGGACGCGCTGCTGTACATGCTGCGGACGGCCTTGGATCCGGCGATGCGCGACGCGGTCTTGCTGGAAGAGGCCATGAAAGGGATGGGGACAAAGGATAACCAGCTGGTGATCCGCGTGGTGCGCCTCCACTGGAATCGCCAACACATGGAAACCGTCAAGCGCGCTTACCACCACCGCTTTCGCACCGATCTGATACAAAGGGTGAAGGGGGAGACAAGCGGTGATTATCAGAGGCTGCTTGTGGCTATGTTGGAGTAGCGGCTGCGGTTGACACGTAGTCGGGATTTTCCTATTGTTGTTCACTCCGTCAAGTCTCACAGCTTTCTGGGCTGCACTGGCGTTTTTTTTTGTGGATTCTATGGTGCTACTATACCCTCTGTTACCCGGATTGGTACGAGATGATGGCCTGTGGCTTTTGCTTTTCTGTTACATTCTTTTCTTAGCTTTGTCGCCTATCCAGATCCTTCTAATTGATCAAAATCATAACACTCACAACTTTTCTTCATGGTTCCATGGGAGTTTATCCATTCATCTCGACTAACCTAGTGCTGCAATAACCTCATCGACTATTGAGTCCGGGCCCTTCCAGTCTACCGGTACAAGCAGCAGGCTTCTGGAGCTAGCCCATAGCTGCCACACTTAGATTGGTTGAGAATAACGAGAAAGGTATATTCTAGGAGAATGAGCACGAGAATAGTTGAGGAGATATAACCTCTATATGTAGCTCCATACGCTGTATCAAAGACTAGGAGTATTACCGCGTTGTTTCTTAAACAAACGCTCCTTTGTCCGCTGCTGCATTTATATGTCGGAGATCCGAGCATACCACCGCTTGGAGTAGTCAGGTATGTATATACATTCCTGCCTTGAGTTCTACACAGCCTCATCCTAAAGCATCGATTCAAGAAGGATTTGAAACTAATATCTAGTCTTGTATTCGAATAGACATGGTAGTGTGGTTTACCTGAAAGCCCAAGGCGGCAAGCAGCTCGGGGCAGAATCCGCGAGAACTCCGGAGCATCGCCGGGCCACGCACTCGGATCCGGATCCAAGCTTCCCGACTGGCTCGATCCGCTCCACAGGCCTTGGCAGCCGGCCAGATCCCGGATTGCGCCCGAGAGGAGTAGATACGTGTAAGTTACTGGTTGTAGCAGCACATCACCACACGTGGCCCATTGGAGAGCCAATTTCGGGACTGCCAGTTTAAACACACCCACTTACAGCGGAGTTGAGACAGATACAGTCAGCTATGGCCAAATCTCTCCACGCCATTGTCGCCGACCTAGATAAGTACGTAGATCTTCCTGCACGCATCGCAAGAACCACGAGGATGGATTGTTGATCGAACTGTACTGCACCTCCCAGCGTCCCGTACAGTGATACCGAGCCGGCGCTGCACGCTATTATCCTCGACAAATATCATGCGCTGCGAGTCGAGGGCATCGATGCGGATCTGGGATTCATCCCCACGACCCTGGTGCGGCGCATTCCCTGGCCGGAAAGAGACTGGGTGGTTGTCGAGCATTCCCGCGCAGTCGTTCTCATGACGCCTCCCGAGATACCTGCCTCTTGTTCTCTCCGGACGCAGATTCTGGAAGCTGTTGTCCACCGGATGATCGAGGCTGGACTCACCGGTATCCGGGACGGCTGGCGCGATGAGCGGTTTGCGGTCTGCGGGCCGGACGGCGACGTGGTTTTTGAGGTTGAACGGTCGGCCAGTGCGTATTTCGGCGTGGTGACCAGTGGGGTGCAGATGCTGGGGTATGCCATCCACGATGACGATGGGGATGAGCATGGTCGACTCCGACTGTGGATAGCGAAACGCTCGATGAGCAAGCAGACCTATCCGGGGATGCTGGACTGTACTGCAGCCGGGGCCTTGGCTGTTGGGCAGACGCCGCGCAGTACGGTCATGCTGGAGGCTGCGGAGGAGGCGTCGATTCCCAGGATGGTCCTGGAAACGGGCCTGCGACGCAGCGGATGTATTTCGTATTTCCATGCCAAAGGTCTCAGACCACAATTCGAGGGGGATGACGACTCGGTGGTGCTGCTCTTGCCCGAGGTAGAATACCTCTATGAGCTTCAACTGGACCCCGGGACGGTGCCTCGGCCAACGGATGGAGAAGTGGAGGACTTTCGGCTTTGGGATGTGGACCAGGTGCTCGACGCTTTGCGGAGAGGACTGTTCAAGCCGAATAGCGCGGTTGCTATCATCGACTTCCTCATTCGACATGGTATGATCAGTCGAGAGATAGAGCCAGGGTATGGCGAGATAGTGACGAGACTGCATCGACGTCTGCCATTGCCGTGGCGCCAGAGTTGGGATGACTAGGATGTGTTCCTGGGTGGTAGCTTGTATGGACCTCAACCTTTGCTATGCATAGTATATTATTATGAGGATATTCGACCCGCGAGGAAGATGCTGTGGCTCTTCTCGGAATATGAAAAACCTGCCGAAGGAAGTGCTTGGTTGGAGCACATAACGTAGTCTAAAAGGTGAGGATTAGTTAAATCCAGCGAACGGCACCGAGTTGACGTATATGACACTCATCAGGTGTTGTAGTCCACACCATCTCCGCGGAGGTCCAAATAAGGCAATAACCTCGATGCTCCAAGTGACACTATGCTGGGCAGTATGTAAAATTTCCCGCTAAGACTCCCTCCAGTTGGTCGAAGAAGTTACCGTGAAGGGACAAACTCCAGTGAGCCGGCGGACTGGATGCGGTGGATCCGGCCGATACCGCAGGATGTCGAGATCTGAACTCATACTTCGATTTAGTCAAATTCTGTCACTTATGAAACCATCTTTACTTATATTCAACCTTCATCCTGCGTGAGAACTGCAGTCTTAATACACAACCATGTCCACCTAAGTCGGTGCTCTTCCCCCCCCCCCCCCGAACTATACCCAACACCATCCCAAACTCATATCTCAAGATGTTACACGTCACCCCTCCGGCAAGGAACATCCTCGACGCAATAGGCAAGACCCCCGTCATCCGCCTGAACCACGTGGCACCCCCCGACAGCGCCGCGATCTACATCAAGCTGGAACTCCTGAACCCAACAGGCTCGTACAAGGACCGCATGGCGCGGTCGATCATCGAGGAGGCCGAGCGGCGCGGCACCCTGCGCCCAGGAATGACCGTCGTCGAAGCCACAGGTGGGAGCACGGGCCCGTCGCTGGCGTTCATCTGCGCGGCCAAGAAATATGCCTTCCGGGTGGTGTCGTCGGACGCGTTCGCGCTGGAGAATCTGCGCACGATGGAGGCGCTGGGCGCCAAGCTGGACCTGGTGCCCGGCCCGGCGGGCATCACGCCGGATCTGATCCCGTCGATGGTCCGCCGCGCGAAAGAATTGGCGCAGCGGGAGGACTACTACCTTGCGGATCAGTTTGACAACAAGGATGCGAGTATTGGGTATGAGGGGATTGGGCATGAGTTGGTGCAGCAGTTTCCCGGCGGCATTGATGCGTTCTGTGGGGCGGTGGGGGGCGCGGGGATGGTGATGGGCGTGTCGAGGGTGCTTAAGGCGCAGTGGCCGTCCACGCGGGTCGTGGTGCTGGAGCCGGCGTCCTCGCCGACGATTACGGCGGGGCGCCCGGGGAAGCACGGCGTCGACGGGATCGGGATTGGGTTCGTGCCGCCGCATTTGGAGCGCGAGTTGTATGACGAGGCGTGGGCGGTTGAGGAGGAGGAAGCGCGCGCGATGTGTCGGCGTCTGGCTAGGGAGGAAGGGTTGCTGGTCGGGACGTCGACGGGTCTCAATGTGGTGGCGGCGATTGCGTTGGCAAAGCGTCTGGGGCCGGGGAAGACGGTTGTGACGGTTGCGGTGGATACGGGGCTCAAATATATGAATGGGAACTTGTTCACTGGTTAGGCTCTCCTGTCGGAATATCTAAAGGATATGGATCAATCTTTGGTCCACTGCGTCATGTTTCCGGTGATATACAGGATCTTCGGGTGACATGCACATATTGATGATGGAAACCTGTCGCAGGACTAAGAGAAGAAATTATGAATTCCGTTTGCCATCTGTTTTATGATGATACTCCATGTCAAAGCACATATTCAAGGTGAGATTCCCAGTAAGAACATCCATATGAAGGAAGTGTGTAATAAGTGTTCAGAGAAAGTAATCTATACTCTAAGCAAGAGCTCTAGGTGGCATAACCAAATAGAAGAGTAACATGAAGAGAATAAGGACAGAAGAGTCGAAGCAGAGATACCCTGGTGGTACATTTGCATACAGCAGTTCCGCGAAGAAGAAAAATCAATCCAAAATAAAAAAGCGATTTGAGGAAGAGATCCAACGAGAGTCAGGAAAGTAATAGATAAATGAGTCGAGTAGGTAAATGAGTCTAGACGACAAAGGTAGGGTGGTGGTATATCGGGGCTTTGCTGTAGTGAATGTGGCAAGTCATTCACAAAGACATTCTAAGGCAGCGGTCGGTGCAAACGATAGGCAGTGGTGTAGCAGTAAAAAGCACCGCATGAAATTATAGCAAGCAAATCACGCCTTCTTGGCTTTGCCAGCCGACTTGGGAACTCTGGCCAACCAGTAAATCCCCACCGCGGCCGCAATGTTGAAGATGATGTACACCCACATGAGCCCAAAGTTCCGCCACGCGTCGGAGAAATAGCTGGAGACGGATGCGAGGAACGTGTCGGTGCTGCTGATGGTACAGAACTGGCAGTTCGACGTTGCCGATGGATCTTCCAGGTACCCACCCGCGACGCTGATGTAGGCCTTCATGTAGCTCTCACACGTCTGATTGTTTGGGGGGTTGAAAGTCAAATACTCGACTGACTCGCAAACTGCCTTTGTTCCGGAGATACCCGTACTCAGCATCGCTGAGACCAAATATGTGAAGGGCGATACACGGTACATAAAGATCCAGAATCCTGGCATCGCCTCCGGGGTAGCCAAGACACCGCAGAAGATCAAGCAGAGAGAGAAGAGAAGCGTCGCGATATTACCACCAGTCTCGGCCAATTCGATGCCGGCGATGACCATGTGAGCGAATGTGGACGTGAAGAGGAGAAAGACCCAGATCAGAAGGAACATGAGCGCCGAGCGCTCGTTCACTGCGTGCGTGGGCTTGGCGTTGTTGTATAAACCAATGGGATAATACCAACAAACGAACATCAGGACCGCCATCAAGGTGTTCCATGGCAATTCGACCAAAATGTTGGCAGTCATGAATGCCTGCCAGGAATAGGCCTTGGAGGGCCGTTCACGGACTTCATACAGCGAACGTTGGGTACAGAAGAGCGGCATGATCTGCTGACAGAGGTTGCCAAAAATGGTCATCAGCATAAAGATGGAGAACATCTGGTTCTGCATGCCTTGAATCGAGTTGCTCGCGTGGAAGAAGGAGAAACCGATGTAAAGAGCGGTCAAGACAGACAGAGCAGTTTTACTCCAAATATAGGTCGGGGTGCGGTAGTACTGCGCAAACACCCGAACCAGGCATTCGTAAAGCTGGATATGAAAGGGTGCGGCGAATTCCTTCAGGGCCTCCGGATCGGACTCATCCTTGGGCTTGGCAGATAGGGTTGACCGGAGCTCAGATAGGTGTTGCTTCACTCCTGTGTACTCCGGAGACTCTCTCCACACCTTGTGCCAATCGATATCGGTCTTGGACCCGGGGGCTGCGCCAATGACGTCAAGCATCCATTCGGCAGGATTTTCTCCATTCTTCAAGGTGTGAGCTCCGTTCCTCTCGAAATAGTTGGATAATGTCGTCGAGTTTTCACCAATGTCGCCGAAGTAAATGGTCTTACCCCCCTTTGCTAGAAACAGAAGGCGATCGAACCGTTGGAACAACATGGCGGACGGTTGATGAATGGTGCAAAGAATGGCTTGTCCATGCTGAGTCAAAGTATCGATAAGGTCCAGAATCGACCATGAAGTCTGACTATCGAGGCCGGACGTCGGTTCATCAAGGAAGAGCAAGAGCTGAGGCTTGGCCGCAAGCTCAACACCAATAGTCAAACGTTTACGCTGCTCGACGTTCAAGCCCTCGCCAGGAACACCAACAACTGCATCGGCGTATGCCTCCATACCGAGAAGCTTAATAACCTCATCCACATAGTCCAGCTTTTCCTTCCGGCTAAGGTGGGCTGGTTGGCGCAGCAAAGCACTAAATTGGAGTGCTTCACGAACAGTCGACGTAGGTAGGTGCACATCCTGCTGCTGAACGTAACCAGTCTTTCTCTGGAACGATTGATCGCGGGGCCTTCCGTCAACCAACATATCGCCGGTAACGACACCCATCGTGACTCGAGTGGCCAACACGTCCAACAACGTGGTCTTTCCTGCTCCGGAGACACCCATCAGAGCCGTGCAAGTTCCAGGCTTCACCCAGCCATCCACATGGTCCAGAATCCGCCGGTCTTCGCCTTTAATGGTGATATCATAGCACACATCCTCCCAGTGAAAGATCGCAGTTTGCCTCTGAATGCGAACATTTTCTTGGTCGCCGCTGGTCTCGGTCTTCACAGCACCACCAGGCCTGGGTTGGACCTCGACATCTCCTTCTGTAGGAAGGGTGGACTGATGGCCCCGACGGAACAACAGGACCTCTCCCTTGGACTTCTGCTCCGAGATGTATTCGGTGCTGACCAGGTAAACAAAGGCGAAGAAAGCCATAAACCCAATCAGAATTCCCAGGTTGCGCCATTCATGTCCAGTGGTATACTGGTAACTCTGCTTGAGGTACAGTGACCCGTCCACGACTGTTGATCCAGCTTGGGCACCAACGGTGGAACAGATGCGATAATCCATGGACACTGAGTCATATTGTGAGCCAGACGGAACGATACTCGAGCATTCAAAAGTGCGACCGGAGAATTCGTTAATAAGGAATGATTCGAACGCGTAGGCCACCGGGTTGATATAGTTCATCCAGCGGGACCAGCCGAGCATGTTCCGAGTGGGAATGACGAATCCAGTGTAAATAACCATGCCAAGAATAAGCAGGGCAGCGGGGACCAAGGCTTGCGAGAGTGAACGAGATGTCGCAGCGATCGTTCTGAAAACCATACTCATGGTGTAGGTGGTCACCACGGAGAATAACCAGAACGTGAAGACCGCTCCTGCATCCCGACGCAGATTGGTCATGAAATACAGAGGCAGATTGAAGGTGATCGAGTTCAGCAGCTTGTAGGGAGTATCGCACAGCATGGAAGCTACTGCTTCCGCGAATGGGTGATAAAATGCATATCGTGCCTGTTTCTCAACAATCGGACGTTGCGCATAGAGTGTAAGGATTTCGAGGGCACTGGAAAATGCGTTGAGGAGGACTGCATAGAATAACAATGCTCCGCGTGAGTAGAAGCTCGAGGTGTTGTTGGGAAGGTTGAAGAAAACGGATGCGACGATCAAGGCGATGATGAAATTGCCGATTAAGCCAGAGAGAGTCAAGCTCATGTCGCCTTTGAGTCTCTGGAAACCCCGGGTCGTACAGAGGGAGATTTGATCCCAGACTGAGATGGTATACGGGGATTTCAGGCGTTGATGCTTTGCCTGCATCGCCCGTCGCGCATCCACAAAGGCTTCGTATGAAGAGCCTTTGAGAGGGTATTGACTTTCAAACTCATCAATCTCTCTCAAGAGTTTGGCTCTCGCACTACTTTGTTTCCAGGCAGCTGCAAATTCGTCCGGAGTGCGAGGGACACGGTTCTCGAAGCCCGGGCGGACCTGTCGTTCTGAGGGCGAAGTCAGGGATGTGAGGAAATCAGCCGTGGTTTGCCGGTCAGGACACTCAAACCCCATGTCAACAAAGAATTGCTTGGCTTCTGAGGTCGGTCCGAAATAGATTTGCCTTCCTTCATACAGCACAGTTACCTTTTGGAAAACGTCGTATGCGCTTTGAGAGGCTTGGTAAATAGCAACACACGCTGTGGTGCCAGTATACTTGCTCATCAAGGCCAGATTCTTACAGAATTCGAGAGCATTCGCGGAGTCAAGACCTCTAGTGCTGTTATCCCATGCTTGGAGTGGTGCTTGGCTCAACATAGCCTCTGCGATACTGACACGCTTTCTCTCACCACCACTAACTCCACGCACGAAATCGTTACCGACACGGGTGTTGATCGTGTGGGAAAGACCAAGCATCGCCATGACCACGTCTCTCATATGCTCAGCGTATTGTTGTCGGCTGACACCTTCGAGGCGATTTCGGGGAGCCCTGGCCAATGCGGCAAATTGGAGCGTGTCACCAACAGTCAGCTGCGGGAAGTGAACATCTGTCTCCGCGTTGTAGAGGGCTTCGCCTCGGAAGGCGTTGTGCATCTCCTTCGCAGGGATACCTAAAGGGAAGCACCCACTGTAAGCACTCATGAGGCCACCAGACGAGTGCTGCGAGGAGGGAACTTACCCTGGTAGTTGAGCATCGATTCCTCCGACATTTCTATACCATTCATCTCCCCAGAGATCGTCTTGAGGAAGGTCGTGCACCCCGAGCCGGGTCTGCCAAGTACAATGAGCATCTCTCCTGACTTGACAAGCCCATCAAACTCGCGCAAAATATGAATCTTCTGCATCTTGGTACCCATCAGCTTTCGAATAAGGGTACCAAATTCCAGAAGTGAATTGAGAACGTTTTTCTGGTAGTCAGTGGGCGAGCCGTAACCGTGTACACTCAAGTTCTTGAAAGCCACGCCTGCAGTCCTGTCCGGGTAGCGCTCAGGATCACGCGTGCGAATGGCGAGGAGCATCTTAATCCAATCTCTGACTTGGAAATTGGGACTGTGTGGATTCAGCTTCGATTCCGGGTCAGTGGTGACAAAGGGGTTCTCAAGGTCGGCCTTGGTTGAGTAGCGAGTGGACTGTCGAGTAAGCCGGCGTGCGAGATCACCCACACGAGCCTCCATCTTGTCTTCCCGTCCTTGAAGCGTCGCATCATCTTCGCTGGCTTCCTGGTCAAACTCCTTTGGTCCTGAAGCTGGATCGTCATGGTAGGCTGCCCCGCCATTTTGCGGCAGGTTGTGGCTGACCACCTCTTGCGCCCGCCCGGCGTTGGTGCTGGTAGTAGGGACGAACGACATATTAAGAGGGGATTGTGTTCACAAAAATCTTAGCATGAAACGAGTAAGCTTGAAAACAATTAAAAAAGCGAAAACAAAGTAAAGGGTGCCTGACAGTGTGGTGCAGGCCCTTGACGTCCGATCAGCCTACGGAAGGCGCTGGGTCCTCCCAAGGCTTCTAGATTGACAGAGAAGAAGGTTTTGGTCACAAATACCGAAAGACCGCTTGAAAGACACCAAATCCAGAGCAAAGGTGAGGAGCCTGCGAAGGTTGTGCTAGATATACATAGTTGATGGACCGCGCGGATTCTAGAACGACCCGCTTGCGGAGCGTTGAGAATCCGATCGTATTTGCTCATCGTGCAGGGCGAACACCCGGGGGCCCGAACAAGATTGTATAAGCAAGACATAAATTGTCCAAATTGTGACACATGTTGCAAATGAGAAGTACCAGCTAGGCGTCAGCAGTGAGTGTCCGGCATCCGAGCCAACCAAAGCGTGTTAAGACCCAGAGTCAGGGGGGTGGAGACCAGTCCCTGAGCCCGAGTCAAAAATTGAGTGAACGTCCGGGAGCCGAAAGAAGCGTGAATGGATCTAGCTGGACCCACGGAGCCATTATCAAAAGTCAATCAATGGGCTGAAGTCTCGGTGTGTTGGGAGTCAGAGGAACGACAACACCATAACCCAACCATCACTGAGGCGGCCTTTGCGAGCAGGTCTGTATCAGGGAAAAGATGCAGAGCATGATGGTTGTGGTCAAAGCGCTGTCCGAAGGCGAAATTTACGGAATGACCGGGCTGGGATGAGAATAGAGATGAGGGATGAGGGATGAGGGATGAGGCAAGTGGAGAAGCAAAAGATGATCGGCAGGCTAACGGTCCGGAGAAGCTGCTGTATTGTTACATCTCCAATACCTACCGCCCTCACGATTCTGCCCAACATCCGGCCTCCGAAGCCCCGAATAGAGCTTAGCTCATTTATATTTGCCCTGGCCTATTGGACAGATCTCTCTCAGCGCAGACTTTGTCGTGGTACGTGAAACTTTTCGGTACGGGTTATACGCAGCTCTCCCTCCTGGCAGCCATCAGGGGTATTAAAGGTATTAAAGGTATTAAAGCTGATAAGTTAGAGGTGGAGTCAAGTTGATTGAGCCTACTTACCTAGTAGCCACGTACTGTAACTCAATAAGGTAGTTAGCCAGTCCAGTGACCGTGGACTGTCATTCCTGCTACCTTATCCCAACCATGCTCAACGCACACCATGACCGGCCTTCCTCCTCATCTTCATCATCATCATCATCATCATCCATGTCCAACACGCGAGAGTCGCCTCTCTCGCAGTCACGCCACCAACGTAATGACATCCTCAAGAAACGGAAGGTATGCGTGATTATGATTTATTACTAGCTATCTTAGATTCTGATAGACGACGAACCAGGCGTGTGAAGCATGTCGCCGCAGCAAAACCAAATGCGATTCCTCCATGAACTCCAGGTGCTCCCGCTGCGAGAAGATGGGTATCTCGTGCACTAGAAACGAGCAGAGATACAGAACCATCCTGCGACGGTGAGTGAGCCCCACGCATCATCTCCCAGGAAATTCATTCACTAATTGGTCTTATGAAGAGAGGCAATGATCAACCACCTCGAAGGAAAGCTAGAGAGGCTCGAGACCCATCTCAGTAGCATCTTCGGTGCGGGGGAGATCAGTTCTATGCCAGACACGCCTCCTGATGACCCCGATCCACCTGTTTCGGCACCCAACCATCTCGGGCTCGATCCTCTGGATGATTTAGATATTGAAGACTTTTTGGATCGACAGGAGCCAGTCTCTGCAAGCATACCCTCGGAGAGTGTTGTTTGTTCCGTGCGCGTTGAGAGCGGAGTGGGTCTGCATCAAGAGAAACCCCCGTGCTTTTACATCCCAAGGTGCATAAGCAACACAGGTGCGGGATGTAAGTCAGACCGCAACCTGAGATGCCTCCTTCGTCTGACTCTGGCACAGGTTTCTCAGTCTTAACAAATGAAGGGTTAGACTGGATATCACAAAGAGCGGATTCGAGTCATCTTGATCATCTTCGTGGGAGTGTGGCCTCCGAACCTCAGTTAAGCTCCTTGTTGCCACCCAGAAAGCTATTTTGCCCGTTCCCACGGGCAGAGCTTTTGAAGCAGCTCCTACATGACTACATGGAGTACTTCAACCTTACCCTGCCGGTATTCACTCAGGCAGACGTTGACGCTCTGTTTGCTGGCAACTACACGGATCCGCAGGTGCACGGCCCAGGCCAGTGGGCCAGCCTTCATGTCATCTTGGCTGTCGCCTACATGCTTCCATCCACAACAGGTCGGCCTGATCATCAGACTAGCGCGCTCTTTATGAAGGGTGCCTTGCAGGCCATTAATGAGATTCTACTAGCACCCCCTGATCTCTGGGCATGCAAATCTACATTAGTGATGGCTGTTCTGTTCTTGTCATTGTCTGCTGCTCACCCTTGCAGTTCGCTTATTGCCATTGCTGTGCAAATCTGCAACCAATTAGATCTAGGCAATTCGGAAGCCCTGCGATGTTCTGTCGAAGAAAGGCAGAGTCGAGATTTGCTCTTCTGGATGGTCTGTGCAATGGATAATGAGTATATGCGACAAGTCCTCTACTCTTGGTGGCTGTTCTGACTGTTACAGGATATCTTATCGATTCGGGGTCCCCCCAGCACAGAAAGAAGACATAGTTGGGGAGGCGTTGCACATCAGTTCTCCCTCAAGCGCTTACAGCGTACCAATACGGAACGACTCGGATACCTTCAATCTCTTCCATCCCACTGCCGAGCTTGTGCAAATCAGGAGCCAGATTGTTCGACAGTTGTATCTAGCCTCCGCGGTCAACAAACCTTTCGACCAGTTACTGGCTCTGACGGGTGATTTCGACCAAAAGCTGCAGGCGTGGTTGCGAAAACTTCCTCGCGAACTGCAGCCTGGGTCCGGAGCATCCCCACCATTCCGAAAAATGCCCGTGTTCCCGACTCTTCTGTTTATTCATTACGCCTATTACGACTGCATGATTGCCATCCACTCTTTGGTGGCCATGAGAGAAGTCAACACTGCGCAGGATCTTCTTGGCGGGCTCAGCCTTTCCGCCTCACCCGGATTTGCCGACAACCCTCGGGTCCTGCTTTCCACGTCGCTCATGTCTAAGGCTGCAAGAGCATCCCTCGCCTTGTTGAAATATTTACCACGGGATGACATAAATCTCGGGTGAGACCAAGCTGCTTCTCTCAAGATCCCACAGTTTCTGACTTACCATCAGTATCGCCTATCACTACCCTTCTGTCGCGATGAAAACGCTCGCTTCAAGCATTATACGCAACCCGCGGCCCGCCTCGGAGATACATAACCTGAAAATGCTCCACCAAGCAGAATCGTATCTATCGCAAACTGCTCGCAATTCGACCCACGAAGCAATCCGGCGCTTGTCCAAGGCTTGCGCGGACTGCTGCGCGGTCGCTCAACGGGCCATCGATGCTGCATAATTCGCTTTCAATGGTGTTCCATACGGTAACCAACGAATACTCTCCAGGCAACATCAAGGCTCGAGTTCAACTCGGTCTGTCTCAAGCTGATACAAATCCCGACCGTAGAGACTCATCGTGTCCTTGATCTACCGGCAAGAGATACATCAAGCCGGAACATTGAACACATACACGAGCGCACAATTTCTGGCTCAGTCAATCAACCTACCGCTGGCGTCATCTCACTCTATCCCTTGATTCGAACAATACAAAACCATGAATCACCGGGCGCAAGGGGCTCACTGACACCGGATTTTCGAATGGCTGCGTCTCAGCTCCACATGCCAGGGACGGCGTCTGCCTAGCTTTAAGCTTCTTCCTTCCTCGTTTCCTGCTCCTCGTCCGGCGAGGGTAAATCCCCCGGCACAACAGCGGACATAAAAACGCTCCCAGGTCCCGTCTTCAGAATGCGTCCTGATTTACTTCCTTTCTCACCGAGTCATACGAAACCACCAAAATGAGATTCACACTTCCTGCTTTTCTTCTCCTCGCTGCGGTGGCTACGGCCGAGTCCGTCCTCGACTATAGCGACGGTCTCCCGCTCTGCTGCAGCAACACCGACAAGATCGAGGAAGCGGGCGACGACGTCATCCAGCAAGTGACCAGTGCTTTTGTCGGAGCGGGCGGTGGTGCCTGGGATCTGGGTGATCGGGTTGCGGGTGAATGTACGAGTCCTCACTGGGGCAAGGGATGAGATTGGCATAGGTTACTTACAAACCGACTAGGCATCCCCGCGTTTCCTACGGACTGGAGCTACGAGCGCGAGAACTGTACGGACGGGTTGAAGCCGGTCTATTGCAAGAAGCACGCTCACTGGACTGTAGGTCTAGTTTCCTCTCCTGCTTTGGGGGATGACAGCTAATGGATCCTATCTATTTCTCTCAGTTGACCCTGAACGGAACATCGGTCTCGAGGAACGTACACGGGCAGTGCCACCTGTAAGGGATTTATATGTACGGTGCTTGGCCGAGCCCTTGCATTGGAGGAATGTGAATAAGACACTTACAAATATCACGAGATATGAGGCTCTCAAATTGGCTTGCACTGTGGAAAGTCAAGGCCTCCACACTGTTGTGAAATGGTCATGTAGATTTTCGGCTGTCAGTGGGACGCAAGACAAATAGCAGCTTGTTTACGGGACAGTCACCACCCTAGTTCTGTCCTCGTCATCACCTTTGCTCTCACATCTGAAGGATCTCATTGGTGTTCCCCTTGCCTAGCCGATGATCCTTGGCGAGTTTCCCAGTACGAGGTGAAATACAGAACCTCCCTGGCCTTGCCCTGGACGTGGGGGATCATGGATTGTTGACGGCAGCCGATAAAGGAGTCGTCGCTGGCCAATCAGCGGCCGACCAGAGATAAGATAAGCAGGCCGACAGCAGATTCCATCGTCCAATCAGACCGGGTTCATTGAGCTACCAGATAAGCCCAAAGCCCAGCATCCATATTTCCATCTGCTTTTCGTGACTGCAGTCAATGTTTTCTCTTATGTGTCTGTTTACGTCGCTTTCAACAAAGGATCAAGCATACTCAAGTGCTCACGGTTCTGTCAGGCGAGCGTCGCGGTGATTCGCCCAGCCCAATTGCCGAATAGCCGATCTGACGCCAAGCAGCGATCTGCTTTGCGGGGGTGGGGTAAAGTACCTACTAGGTAGTACTCCAGTACAAGCCAGCGTTAAATACTCTCGCTCCCCCAGATATCTTTCTCACTGGCAACACCAGCCTCCTGCCTCGGGAGTGACTGCACCTGCTCAGCATCGAGTACAATACACTATGTCGGTCGCTCATTCTACCAGACCGGTCCCACCCTATCAGCCCTTCCAATGTTCCATCTGCCAGAGCCGCTTCACCAGACATGAAAACCTCAAGCGCCATGCTGCCCTGCACTCGCGTTCCTCGGGTGAAGTCTCGCTGGCCTGTGGCCATTGCAGCGCGACCTTCTCGCGTCCGGACTTGCGCAATCGGCATATGAAGCGGAAGCACCCCGAGCACCACGAGAGACGGACAGCCAAGAGAAGAAACTCGCAAAATAAAGGTGACCAGTCATGCTCGATTCATCAGCTCCAGCTGGCTGGCGCCGAATACGAGACGGCGAGGACAACCCGACGTCGGCCCTCGGCACGATCCTTCCGGAGGAGTCCGAGTCACGCCGCGCTGGAGGTTTTTGAACTCGACTGGAATCTATTACCAGAACCACCAGCTTTTGCCCATGCAGATTCTCCCACCTCCAGCAATAAATCACCCGGTGTATCGGACTCTCCGGCTCGATCTCTATCCAGTATCTCGCTGCCCGTACAAGACGATTGGTTTCCGTCCGACCTGCAGATCCGTCGGGGATGCGATCTCTTCTTCAACCATGTCTCCTGCTTTCTCCCTTTCCTGCATCAAGCAACTTTCGATACTACGCAGGTATCCGCACATCTCATCCTGAGTATTCTCAGTCTTGCCTACCAATATGGTGACGATCCGGAACGAGAGGACGAATCCGGGTCTGGCGCTACCCTGTCGGTGCAATGCTTCCATCGTGCTCGTGCTCTCATTCCCAGCCATGAAGACGACGCCGACGACACCATCGAGATCACTTCGCACCTGATCACCATCCAATCCTACCTCCTCCTCCAGATCTGCGCCATGATGTATCTCTGCGGCGAGAGCTCGACCCAAGGCCTCAAGATGCACACTGCAATGATCTCCCTCGCCCGGTCCGCAGGCCTCATGCAACCAACCCCGACCTCCTCTTTAGCCTCAACCTCCGACCTCGACTCCCTCTGGCACGCCTTCATCCACGCCGAATCGCACAAGCGTACCATCTTTGCCGTCCACCAGATCGATGCCCTGTATTACCAACTCCTTTCCATCCCACGCTGCATCTCCCACCTGGAAATCAAGCACGACCTCCCCTGCCCCGAAAACCAGTGGTCCGCCTCGACGAGCGCCGAATGGGCCCATCTGCAACTCACCTCTCGCTCCGCCACCACCGCCGAAACCCCCATGCTGCAGTATGCCGACGCAATCCGACATTTCCTCTCCCCCACCGCCGACGTCCAACTCATCGCCCCCTTCGACCCCTACGGCGCCATCAACATCGCGCAGTTCCTCATCTCCAGCGCCCGCGAGATCTCCGGCTGGTCCACGATGACGGGGATGTTGAGCATGGAGCGATTCGGGGCGCTGCGCTCGTCCCTCGCAGCGCTGGGTCCATACCTCCGTCCGGAGGATGATCTCGTTTCTACGGCAGAAGGCATGCCCAGAGCGACCAGTGTCCGCACCATCACCTGTGCCGCAACGTGGGAAACGGCCATGCTCGAGCTCCAGATGTGGTCTCCGTTGCACACGGGGGGCATCGTCGGGGCGAGCATCGACACGTGGCTGCAGCAGTCGACGCGGCTGGCGCCGACCTCGTGCGAGGTGCTGTGCGAGGTGGACACGGTGGTGCAGGCGGTGCAGCCGCACGTGGACTGGTTTCTGGGGTACTTGGACCGGTGTGCGGCCCTGCAGGCGGAGGCGCCGTGGGTGCTGCTGTACGCGTACCAGGCGTTCTTGGTGGCGTGGCAGCTGGTGCGGTGGGGGGTGCCGGGGGCGATGGGGGTGGTCGGGGTGGCGGATGGTGACGGGGAGGGGGCGCTGCACTGGGCCAGGACGGTGTTTGGGCGGCGTGAACGGTGGCAGATAGGGCGGTTGATCAAAAGATGTCTGGACGAGCTGGGGAGGGGGTGTAGTTGAAACTACCTTCCTGCCTTCAAACCTACTGCCCTCCCTCCCCCCTAAGCAGAACACAAGATCCTTCTAAACCAAACCGGACATGAATTGAATATGTACAATCTTTTACCCCCCCCCAATCCACTCTCAAACTTCCCAATCCATCCCCAAATCTAAGACCTTGCAACCTCCAACTCAGCAATATACCAATTCTGCACCGCCTTCGTATCCCCCGTCATAGCCACAGTATCATACATGCCCCTCGCCTCCTTGGCCAACGCCCCATTATTGACCATCCTGCCCACCCACTTCCCATACTTCCTCCCCGCCTCCACAATCTTGTTAATCGCCTCCACAAACACCGGCTCATCCCCGCGCGCAGGAACATACCCCAACAGCGCCTGCGCGAGATCATTCGGCCCAATAAACACCAAATCCACCCCGGGCACCGCACAAATCTCCTCGACATTCTCGACCCCCTCCTTCGTCTCGATCTGCACCATGGTGATGAGCGTCTCGTTGGCCGACACCATATACTCGGGGGTCGTCAGCCCGTGCCCGATAGCCGGAAACGCCGACCCCTGGCCCCGCACCCCGTAGGGGGGGAACTTCGAGGAGGCGACGACCTGCCGCGCCTCCTCGGCGGTGTTGATCTGCGGCACCATGATGCCGTGCGTGCCGGTGTCCAGCGCCCGCTTGAGGATGTCGTGCGCCGGACCCCGCACCCGGATGATCGGGGATACCCCGAGCGCGGAGATGGCGGCGACGCTGTTGTGCATCGCGTCGTCGGAGATGTGGCCGTGTTCGCAGTCGATGATGATCCCGTCGACGCCTGTCAGGGCGACGACCTGCGCCATGCGGACGGAGGGGAGCGCCATGAAGGTCATTACGGGGTAGTCCGAGGTGCGTAGTTTGTTGAGCAGGCGGAGCCGCGGGTTTTGGATCGTGGTGGTTTGGGCTGTGGGGGGCGATTTTTGGGTCATTTTGGTGGTGGTTGTGGTGGGTCTATGGGGATTCCGGGGAAAGAGAGGGGTGGTTGGTTGAGGAGGGTATTGATTGATTGATTGTTTAAGTTTGAGGGTGAGTGTGAGTGACAATGAGAAGGACTATGGTCAATCACGGCTGGGGTTAAATATCCAGGGACGCAGGTGGGTTCAGGTGGGCAGTGTTTGGGTGGATCTCCGGGTAGTGCAGCTGCGCTTATCGGTGGGAGGAGCTCCGCATTTTAGGGCATGGCAGATAAGGCGGGGGAGGAGGAGGAGGAGGAGCAGCACTCTTCTTCTTTCTCCTCCGCTCCTCCTCCCCTCCTCCCTTCTTATCTGCTATCTCCACACCACAACACAACTCACTGATACGGTCAATTGAGTGTGATCACTATCATGAATCCTCTCAATGGCTATGCATTGACCGACTGACATATAACTGCATCCATGCACAAGACAACACCAAAACAATGGCAGCCCCTCCCTCCCCAGCAGACACGTACAAACCCCCAGCCGCAGCTTCAACCCCCAACATGGATGCCCACAAACCCCCGCCATCCATCACGGACAAAGCCTCCTGCCACGAGGGTCAAGTCTCGCAGTACGATGAGCGCATGCCCGAGTCCCTCCGCAACCTCAGCGAGGAGGAGCTGCGCGACCTGCAGCGCCGACTCGTCCGCAAGGTCGACCTCCTGGTGCTACCCACCATCGGCATCCTCTACATCCTCAACTACATCGACCGGCAGAACCTGGCCTCAGCCAAGCTGCAAGGCATCACCGACGACCTGCACATGAGCTCGGAGCAGTTTGCCACTGCCGTCTCCATCCTGTTCGTCGGGTACCTCCCATTCCAGGTGCCCAGCAACATCCTGATCACGCGCATCTCACGGCCTGGGCTGTACATCTGCGTCGCCGTAGCCATCTGGGGATGCATCTCCGCCGCCACGGCCGCAGTCAAGAATTACGGACAACTCCTCGCGGTGCGGGCAATCCTGGGCATCGCCGAGGCCGTCTTCTTCCCCGGGGCCATCTACTACCTGTCAGCCTGGTACACCAAGATCGAACTGGGCAAGCGCATCGCGGGGCTCTACATCGCGCAGCAGGTCGGCAACGCGTTCGGGGGCCTCTTCGCAGCCGCCATCCTGCAGCTGGACGGGGTCCACAACATTGCCGGGTGGCAGTGGCTCTTCATCATCGAGGGCAGCGCGACCGTGGGCATCGGGCTACTGTGTGGGCTGATCATGCCGGAATTCCCGCACAACAGCCGGCTCCTCTCACCCTTGCAGCGCGATCTGGCCGTGTGGCGGATCGAGTCCGAAGCCGGCGCGGCGGAGGGCAACACGACCACCGAAAAAGAAAACCCACTCCAAGGCTTCCTGCACGCGCTATCCGACCCCAAGCTCATCCTGCTCATCCTCGCCAACATGCTCTCGCAAACCCAAGGCTCCATCGCCAACTACTTCCCGACCCTCGTCTCCTCCCTCAATTTCTCCGAGACGGTCAGCCTGCTCCTGACGGCGCCGCCGTACATCCTGGCGGGCGCCGTCTACTACGGGATCATGTTCTACTCCGACCGGCGGAACACCGTCTACCCGCTGATCCTGGGGTGTATTGCCATCGCGATCGCGATGTACGTGATCCTGCTGGCGACGCTGAACATCGGCGCCCGCTACTTCGCCATGATGATCCTGCCGTTCGCCTCCGTCGGCCCCCAGCTCCTCCTCTACAAGACCATCAACCTGCACCTGGCGCGGCCGGTGGCCAAGCGCGCCGCGGCGTCGGCGCTGGTCAACGCCATCGGCGGGACCTCGAATATCTGGGCCTCGTATCTGTATTACTCGTCACCGCATTTCTATGCTGCGTTCGGCACGCTGATGGGGGCGGCGGTGCTGCTGGCCGCGACGATGACGGCGTACCGGTGGTTGGTGCTGCGCGAGAATCGGCGGCTGGATTCCGGGGTGGACGAGGAGGTGCGCAAGGCGATGAAGGGGGGCGTCACGGAGGAGATGGTGCGCTTGGGGTGGCGGTATGAGATGTATTGACTTAGCTGTGCTGTGAGGCTTCGCTGTTGGGTAGGGTTGGACAATGTGCGGTGTGTAAGGGCTGTATGTTCGCGGAGCATGTACAATTGAGCGCTTTGCAGCGATGGCCTCGTAGCCCTACCGCTCCTAGCTGATCGATTTTGTGACGAGTACAGTATATGACATCCACACACAGCCTCTCTCTCTCTCCCCCCCTCTCTCTCTCTGCCCCATCTGCAAAGTCTTAACTCAATGTATAACCTAAACCCCCCTTCTTTCGGGAGCGGAAGTAAATCATCCTATCAATACCCACAAAATAACCCTCACAAAGCTACTCCAACTCCCACTCTACGCTATCAGCCCCTAAAACAATTGCACAACGTAGAACAAATCTATTCATCTATCTATCCAGAAAAAGCTCAAACCTGCGCAATACACTCAATCTCAATCACCGTCCCCTGCCCCGGCGCGACCGCCTGCAGACACGACCGCGAGGGCATCGGCGTCGGCAGGAACTCAATGTACGCCTCGTTCATCGCCGCAAAGTCCTTCATGTCCGCCAGGTAGACGTTGTACTTGACGACTTGCTCCAACGAGGAGCCGGCGAGCTCGAGGACTTCTTTGAGGTTCTGAAGGACGGTTCGCTGTTTTTGCCTTCCGTGTTAGACTGGTGTTCCTGTGGGTTGGGGAAGACGGGTCGATACTGACTGTGGCTTGCTTGATCTCGCCGGTGGCGGTTTGGCCGGCGCAGAAGACGAGGCCGGGGACTTTGACGGCTGGGCCTGCGGGGGGATTAGTTTCCGGTAGGAATGGGTATGGCTAGGGGGGAGACGCACAGTTGTGAGGCTTGGGAGGGAACTTCTCGCTCGAGATGAGTTGGCGGGACATTTTGGTTGGGGTGGGATGGAATCCGGGGATTGGTGGTTGTGTTTGTGGTTGTAGAAGATAGGGAGAAATGTGGCGTGCTGAACCTTGATCTGGTTGGTTAAGGCATGGGGATTGTCTAGTAGAGTTTATGGGGATTTAAATATTGAAGATTGGCGGCAGAGGTGGTGATGCTCCTCCCGCTTGGCACTCCGGGAGGAGCTCCTCCCACCTGTGGAGAGCGCCCATTGCGATAGTCCTTATCAACGTCTTGGCGGGAGCTCTGCGGTTTGCTAGAGGAGCTCAAGAGGAAAGGGCAGGGGGCTTACTGAGGAGCAGTTATCATTTTTCGTGTTGCTGAGAGACAATGGTGGGCAAATGAATGGAATCTCGTATGACCACGGAGCACACCGTATACAGAATCCCGGCGTCCAACATCGCGCATATAAATGAACCCGTCGTAATCGAGTCAACACTTCTTCAAGCAGCACTGTGAAAGACGTCTCACAGACTACAACCCCAATAAGACAATGGCACCCAGCGCCCCCTTCAACCCACCTTCGCCTACACTCGCAGGCAAACCCTTCGTGCCCAGCTGGACTCCTCCCCCCGTCACCAAGGAGAAGCACAACTTCGCCGAGCTGAAATCCATTGACCTGTCCCTGCTTGACTCGGAAGACCCGGCTGTCGTCAACGATCTGATTCAGCAGGTGAAAGTGGCCATCCGTGACGATGGCTTCCTGTTCCTCGAGAACTACGGCGTCTCTTTGGAGCAGGTAAGGCATTACCAGGGGACAACCCAGCCCTCAAGCGAAGCTATGCTAACCGCCCCCAGCTCCACCGCCAATTCGGCCTAGCACAATACCTCTACAATAACATCAGCGAAGAGGACAAGCAACGCCTGCTCTTCCACCCCGAGACCGGCGTCTGGTCCGGCTACAAGCACCCTTACGGCTTCAAAGTAGGTCCCCATCACCTCGACTCTTCCCCACCAGCAGATGAGAGAGAAAGATCGAAACCTTAAAGCTGACCACCATCTAGCGCCACCGCGGCCCCGCCGACGGCATCGAGCAATTCAACTGGTACACGCCGGAATGGGCCTCGCCCTCGACGCGCGTCCCGCAATGCCTGCAGCCCTTCATGGACGAGATCGAAGCCTTCTGCACCTACCTCACGCAGTCCGTCAACCGCCGCCTCCTCACCCTGTTCTCGCGCGTTCTCGAGCTCCCCGACGACTACCTCTGGGAGAAGGTGCAGTCGCACGGCAGCCCCACGGGCGAAGGGTACTTCCGGCACGCGCTGTTCCGGCCCGTGCAGAAGGAGACCCGCGACGCCTCCAAGGGGATCAAGATGCACGGCCACACGGACTTCGGGCTGACCACCCTCCTCTTCAGCGTGCCCATCTCGTGTCTGCAGATCTGGGGCCGCGACGAGCAGTGGTACTACGTGCCGTACCGGCCGGGCGCCCTGGTGGTCAACATCGGCGATACCCTGGAGATTGTCTCGGGCGGGCACTTCAAGGCGACGCGGCATCGCGTGTTCACCCCGCCCGCGGATCAGCTGGAGGAGGAGCGGTTGTCGTTGGTGCTGTTTAATAGTTCGGTGGGGGATTTGAGGATGGGGCCTGCTTTGGGTGAGTTTTTTCCATTCGGTTCTGAACCGGGGGGCGGGGGTAAAGTGAGCATGAAGCTAACGGCTTGTGCAGAATCACCTCTCATTCAGAGAGAGGGCTGCGTCGAAGAGCAGGGCGTCTACAGGGAGTTCCGTAACCTCACGGCGCAGGGGAAACTGGTCCCCACCAATCGCGAGTGGCGCGAGATTCAGATCGCCACGTGTACGGATCCCACGGACTCGGTGCGGAACTCGGTGGGCGCGGATCAGGTGCTGATCGAGGGGAAGATTATGCATCAGCGCGAGTATATGGGGGTCAAGGTGGTTTTGCCGGTGTGAAGGGTGGGACGAAAGGGTGTTGTTGGGTAGGAAGTGGGAGAGGGGATTTTCACGGTGGAATCAATGGCTTATTGTGGCTGTTTCTTGTACTTTTCAGAATGTCACTTGCGTGTTAGAATTATGGAATACGTTTCAATTCAGTTCTGTGCGCACTAACGAAGCTGGGACAGCTGAATATGTCGGGTTGATCTCGTGGAAACTGAGTATAGCGGATTACTGTCTCGCTTTCCTGATACAATAGTACACCTTCCTGGTCAGCAAATATACAACCTACTGAAAGCTCCTTGGTGATTCAAGGCCAAAGTATATGCTTCATGGCTTACATGAATATACCTAGGTACAACGGAAGCCTTCATATGTCAGATATTCTGAAAAGAGCTGCTTGTTGAGCCACTATTCAATGTTCAGCAAA